AATTTATTGGAGGGCCTGAAAAGGTACACCCTTGAAAGCAAAGATGCGATTGTCGGCCGGAAAGGTAATGGCAACAGTGGTTTTTGATCGGCTAGGAATTTTTCACGTTGAATTTCTACACGATTAACGCACGATTAATGCACAATATTGCTGAGTTACTGAAAGCCATAAAATTGGCATTTCGAAGAAAAAGGAAGAAGCAATTGGTCAGAAATGTCATTTTTTTGCATGACAACGCCAGACCTCATGTGGTTATTGTCACGAGGGAAAAATTGAACATCCTCCCTAAAGTCTAGACCTTTCCTCTTGTGACTTACATCCTTTTGGACCCCTTAAAGAATTGCTTGGAGGCCAGCGGTTGGACGATAACGAAGCGGTGGAAGCATTTGTGCTCCAATGGCTACAGGAATGTCCGAAGAGTTTTTACGATGCTGGAATAAAAAAGCTAAAAATCCGATGGGAAAAACGAATTTCTAGGGGGGGAATGTATGTAGAAAAATAGTGTATGTATGAAAACTTATTTAAATAAAATTTTAACAAAAGAAATCCCGTTTATATTTGATACACCCTCGTACATGCGCAATTTGCGACGAATTTGGTAAAAATAGCGAACTGTGGATCCAATTTAACATTTTTCGCCTATGGGCACACAAAGACTGTACCAGTTTCGAAGGCAATGTACAATTTGTGATTTTTGTAATTAATTATTTTTAAATGAGGCCAATACTGGCAGTGGCCACTTTTACCCTTCGATCGCGGGTAAATCGACAAAAGCGATGGTCGTTAAACGTTTATGGTGGAATCATAGGAAGACACTTGGTGGGACCCTACTTTTTTGATGGCCATTTAAATGGAAGAAAATTTTTAAAGAAAGATTTGCTGCAGCTGGATAGTGCTCCCGCCCATTTTTTGCATAATGTTAGGACACATTTAAACCAAAAATTTCCTGAAAAATGGCCCCCTAGATCACTCGATATAACCCCTCTAGATTTCTTATGGGGATATATTAAAACTGTAGTTTACGACCACCGACGAAGATATGAAAATACGCAATTCGTGATGCGTTTGCTATTATTAATTTAGAGATTTTAAGTAATATATAAAAAAAATTGAAAAGTGAGTCAAAACGTACATTGACAATAATGGACATTTTAAACATTTTAATTTTAAATTTATTGGCAACTTTTGGAATAAATATGTTTATTTAATTGCTTTGTTCATTGAAATTATTGATAATAGGTTTAAAAATAGTAGATATGGGTATAGGAAACCTTTTAAACTTTTAAAGTAAATAAGATTTCCTTCATATGGACAACATAAAATACAGGGTGTTCCATTTAAATTAACGCAGTAGTTAAATAACACATTTTACTGTAATAAAACATCAAATTTCAAATACCCCGTATAATTTTTGAATATTTTAATGATTCTGATAAAAAGTTACATTTTGTAAGTAAAATTCGTTAATTAATTATTTTGTAATCAAGAGTAATTAATTTCGACAGCATTACATTTTCAAAAAATATCAAATAAATCGGAAATTATCCAAGATAGGTATAGGAACTCTTTATTGAGCTAATATTATTTATGTCCCATTTAAAAAAATATAGGTTTATATTGGTATTCTCCTTTGGGACACCCTGTAAATATGAAACTAATTTTAATTTGTAGCCGCCGTTGAGTTGTGTGTTTGTGCCAAAGGAATTTTAAATATGGTTTGTAGTTTACCCACCAGGCTCCGTCTTGTATAAATTTTGTTAGTTTTAGCTACTCGTAGTATTCCTTCACTGGACTGTTAAAAATTACAAATAAACTTTGCATTTAAATTTAAGCAGATGGCGATCTTTAAGTAGTCAAATTAGCTTTATTTTTCACAAAATTCTTTATAAGTACTTTGGCAAGCTTCCAACTTTCAAATTGTCCCCAATTTCGCTCTGATTATCATATAAATTACACACAGCTTATAGTGGCTTAAATTTATTAGATTATGTTATTCCAACTGTGGCTGATTTTAATATTTAAGATGGTTTAAGTTTTAAATGTATATTTTGCGAGTTTGCCAGATCAAGGCTATTAAGGAAAAAGTTCAGAATATTGTCTAGTGAAAGAGTGTAATTTGTTGATGTAAGAACTAAGAAGAGTTAGATTTTAAAGCTTTTTGTTTGAATGAACACTCAATTTTATTTAAAAATGTGAAAGAACAGTGCAGTGGCGTAGTTAAAAAAGCAGTTAAAATTCTGTAATATCAGGCAGGTACAAAACTTAAATTTTTTTGGATGGTTACAGAGACTGAGGAAATATTAGAGTACTTTTATGTAGGTAACTATTTTTCAAAGAATTCTAAATTAAAATAAAAGTCCCTAAATAAAAAAACTGAGGTATGACGGTCATAGGGGAAAGGGACAGCCAAATTAACACCAAAAAAGAGAGAAAACGTTCAATGTTTTTCTATTTTTAGTTAATAGATAGAGAGTATTAGGGTCTGAAGTGATTGAAAAAATAGAAAATGATTCTAAATTATTATACAGTTCATGTCAACCAAATGAATATGGCTGAATGCGTGAAAGTGAGAGGGTGATAGAGAAAGAAAGAAAATAATAGATTGTATAATTATACCTCCTGTTGACACATGCACGTGCTATTTACAAGATCTACATTTTTTTATGAAATCCCACATAGTGACAGTGCCAGAACTCGTCAAACTCTAAAAATCAAACTAGCAAATGCAATATCCACTCCAAACATCAAAATAGGAAAACTTTTAAGTACCTATCACATTAATCAGATCTACAAAATAATAATTTATACAATATATCTATCATTTATTTTCCACACAAAAATCATCCATTATTAAGTACAGCAGAGCTGGATAAAGCGCTTTTGCAAAGTGCTTCAATTACCAAGCACTTTCGTAAAGTGCTTTCAAGTATCAATTACCAAATACTTTCATTTTTAAAAGTGCTTTAATCATACCTCAGGAAGATGGCGAAGACATTTTTTATAGAGGCAAGAACCACAAAACTCAAACAAGACTGGAACACTTATAAATCTCACCTTAGCCATTAGACAAAAACAGAGAGCATGGAGAGCCCAATGCGAAGCAATTTAAGATTTCCCGCAGGAAGCAAGGTTTCCGCGGTATTGATACAATAATTAAAGTAGATGGCACGAAAACTCCAAACCTCGAAGATAGCATCAAACTTCTGCTGTCACAACACTTCCCTAACTCGGTCCAAACAGACGTGGACGTGGCCGACTGGGCAGAGGAAGAATACAACCCATCTATCAGGACCTGACGGTATTTATCTAACCCTACTGTAAGAACTAACACTGCACCTGGTAGCTATATGCAGATCCTCGTTAGCCATGATACATGTCCCCAAAAAAATGGAGACAGATAAAAGTGGTAATCGTACCCAAACCCGGAAGGACAGATTACACTGTCCCAAAAACATACCAGCCAATTAGCCTGACATCGTTTTTCATGAAGACACTCCCCTTAGTTGCTGACCAAAAAGAGAGATTCCTGTACAATGAAGAGTCCGCTTTGGGTGTTTTCATAGAGATAGAAGCTGCTTTTGACAAAACCACCATCCTCAAGATAATAGACTCATTAACCACAGAAATGTTCCACGGATGGTTAGAGGGTGGATATATAACATACTCTCAAAGCGAGCAGTAAACATAAGTGTAGAAGATTTGAATATAATAGGCTTGATTGCGAGGGGATGTCCACAGGAAGGGGTACTATCACCTCTACTATGGAACATGGTCGAAACACCCTCATAAGCCGCCTCAATACTGACAGCCTCTACACAATAACGTATGCAGATGATCGTCTTTCGGCAAACAGGGAATTTTGGGAACGTACTCTGCGAACATAACGGGAAAAATTAGAAAACAGTGGTGCATGGACCATTCGCTGTCTATTGATCCCACGAAGACAGGAATGGTCCCTTTTACAAGAAAAGGATAAAAATTAAACTAAAACCTTCAGAGCTCTTAAACGCAAAACTGAAATGTAATCTTGGTCTCACATTTGACAACAAGTTAACATGGAACTCACATTTAGAAAAAAGTCAAAAAAGCATACATTGCTAATGAATAATATTGCCAAATGGTGGAAAACTATGCTACCATACGGTGCAGTTGTCTGGGTACCCACCACCCAACAATTGATAGCTATCCGCAAACTAGATCAAATTCAAAAAGTAGCATGTCTCAACATAACAAAGTCATGAAAACCATACCAACCAGAATCATTCTTAGTCTCAGTCCCCTTGATATTTACATCAAGCAGCTGCAGAGTCGCCAGGGAGCTTCTAAATTATCCTTACAAGATTATAGTAAACAAAGACTATGACTAGACATAATCCGCGCCTGATCAAAGGCATTCTGACTAGTCATTGCCAAGTACGAAAGCATCTCCATAGTATGGGGGCTATTAGAATCCGAACTCTGAAGGGGGTGCGAACAAGAAGATGAAATAATTGAGCATATCCTCTACGATTGCCTGACGCTCAACTATTTGCTTTTAATAAAACAATTTTCTTTAAATTTTGCTTCATTACGGCGTGCGTTCTTCGCGAATTTATTATAGAAACAAATGAGAAAATTTTCATTATCACATACATTTAATATTTTTTTAATTATTTTAAAAACTTCCATTTTATTTAAATGTTTTCTCTGCAATTTTTTTGATTATGCCGTTCTTAAATTTTCGATATAAAAATAGTGCTTCAGGCATGTTTAAGGACTTTAATTACTTAAAAGTAATTAAATTACTGCCGAATGGCTTTAAAAAGCCTCACATACTTTTAAAAGCCTCACATACTTTTAAAAGAGCTTCAAATACCAAATGCTCAGTTGAAAAAGTATTTGAAGCACAGTGCATGAACCCTTCAAGCACTTCATTAAAGCATTTTGCAAAAGTGCTTTACCGAGCTCTGATGTACAGTTAATTAACTTGATAATTATTACTATTACAAATCGGTACTTACGTTTAGTTTGTATAAAATTTAATTGTTTAATGGCCGACAATACAGGAGCGTCATCTAGCGTAAGTTCGAATTGAGGAGATACTTGTGGTATCGACCACTCTTTCTGCCATGAATGGTCTGTATCTACCACTCGGTTGATCAACATTGAACCAACCTGCAAAGTAAAAAAATAACACTACAAAAAACCATTTCATTAAGGAGCAAAAAAGTAGAAGCCATAACTAAATTGTAAAGAATACATAATAACAAGAATGATATATGTCGTTGCGAGTTTAAATGGCAGGAGGTTAGCACAAAATTACGCTCTATTATCAGATACCAATATGTAATTTAGATACAAAGGAGTTAGTTATTTTAGAGACTTTGGAAATTATATAACTTACTTGTATAAAAGAAGAACTATCCGTTTCTTTTAATGCCTCTATACAGAATTGCAGCAAAGCTGTAGTTTGCTGTAGTCGATGCGTACAGGTAGCTACTTGGTCCTTCAATACACCCTTTCTCATGTCCTTTTCTTGTCGTATGAAGTCTAGTAAATTGTTCCTCCTTAATCGTATTGCTTCTATGAGTGCTTCGCACTGGCTTGATATGATACTTTCGAAATCATCACAGTTTCGCTGCAAAAGAAAGAACGTTGTTAGGAAAAATAGAACTTGTATGTTAAAAACTTCAACAATTAGTTTGCCACTTGGCCAGTAGACGTATTATTACTACAAATGTTATGTCCATCCAAGATTTTGGTGATGCCTATGTTTCTGTTAAACCAGCTTTAAATTTGATCGAATTTCGCATTTTCCGCGCATGACGTAACGTGGCATAAAGCCATGCTATACAAAAATCAAACAGTATTTGATTGACTTTTGAATAAGAATTATTTTTTAATACAGGTTTTATTTATAATTATAAGAAATTTTAAATAACAGTTAAAAAAGTATTTTGCTTATGAACTCACAAACGGTTGCTAAGCCTTAGAATATAAAGTAGTAAGGAAGAAGTGTGTGCCACATTTCTAAAGTCAGCCATTTTGGATAACCATTTATGTTTCATTGATTGTTTATGTGTCATTTGAAAGTTGGTTTTTGTATTATATTTTGCAAGTTATAAGTTGTTGAACCATTTTTAGTCGATAATGTAGGTAATAGTTAAATATGTTCTTATTTTAGTTCAATAATACATAATCTTGGTGCAATAAATACGGCGATAAAGACAATGGTTAGTTGTAGTGCTTGTAGATACTCAAAGACTGCCAAAAACGACTTTTTGAAAATTAGTTTTCATTGGTAAGTACATTATCGTAACAACATTCATGTAATAGGTCTAAGTAATATGCGTTTAACGTTAAATTTTAATTAATACATCATAGTTGTTTCTAATCTAAAATTCCCATTGCCATGGGCGTACTTAACCTTTTTTTATGTTAAGTTACAATTATGGTTTGGTTTATCGAACACAAAGTTTAATTTCAACTTGTCACTAAAATTAAGAAAATTGATCAACTTCTCTTAGATTAGCATGTTTATTGAGCTCTTTTTACACATACGAGGTCTGTTCATTAAATATGCGAACAGCATTGCTCGTGTGGCCTTGAATTGAAATTCGCATGTGAGCACTGGCTACTTTGTTGCCGGGTAAGCCCGCAGCGTTGCGAGTATCAGTGCTAAAGTACTGAAATCAATGGTTTTTGGCCATTATAAGTACCTACTTTTTATACTTCAGTACCTTTTTCTATTCACGGCAAATAGTTTGGGGGGAAAAGTAAAAAAATGATTGTTCTGTTTTTACTTTCAGTAAAAGAACTTACTTTACCTGCTTTGCTCATCTATAAATGTCATGATCCATTGTTGTTTTTTATTTACAAAATCATCTGTGTTCAATCTGCTTGACTTACAGAGTTTAGAGCTACTACTTATGTTATAGATGTAAGAATAGAAATTAAGAGCGGCAAAAACACGAAAATATAGTGAATTCAAAACTTGGTGTTGGGTACAATATATCCCCTGTAGTAATGTTACTGGGATACAATAAATGGCTTTAAGTTACGCCCAGCAGTCACGAAGGTTGGTTTCTGGCCTTAGAACATATGTTCTGGCGCTAGGTTGCACAATTTATGACAATGACAACTGATTTGTGCATTTTGTGATTAATTCCATGTTTCGTAATCTGTCAACTGTCAGTAATTTTTATTTTCAATTAGTACTGTTTTCAGTATCACTGCAGTACTTTCATTTTCCTATTGCTGGCAACGCTTGACTGAAGCGTCAGAAATCACCAAACCGTTGAGGCATGCTTACCGTTCGAACTGGGAAGTTTTTGTAGCATGTGTTTTACACTCTTGTCGACGATGGAGGTTGACGAACACATGGAACAACGAGTCAACATCAAATTTCTGGGGAATCTTGGGCAGTTTATGGAGATAAGACACTAAAAAAAACTGCTCTTTTTAAGTGGATCAAGCGTTTTAGAGAGGGCCGTGATGACTGCAAAGACGATGCAAGGTCTGGACGACCGTTGATTCCTGTGTTGATGAAAACATTGAACGGGTACGGTCTTTTGTGCTTTCCAATCGTCGATTGACTGTTAGAATGATTTCTGATCAACTAAATTTAGAAAAATCATCTCTGCACGCGATTTTAACAGAACATTTGGAGTTGAGAAAATTATGTGCAAAAATTGTCCCCAAGTTGCTGACACCGCAGCAGTAGTTGAGAAGGACAGAATGCTGCATCGACTGGAAAAACTCCGCTCTACCAGATTTCCAGATTTAACCTCCTGCGCCTTTTTTGTTCCCCAAATGTAAAAAGGTCATGCGGGAGCGGCACTGGGATGACGTGGTGACGGTGAAACCTGAAACGACAAAGCAGCTGAAGAGCCTGACTCCTGAAGATTTCCAGAAACGTTTTGAACAATGGAAACAGAGGTGGGACAAGTGCATTGCTACAAATGGGGAGAATTTTGAAGGGGATAAAATTGATCTACCCTAAATTTTGTAAAATAAATTTTTTAAAAAATCAGTTCGCGTATTTATTGGACAGACCTCGTACAATATAAATTTTTTTTTACCAGAATCTTAAATATTGTGTTTATTGTTAATTTAGTTCCATGCACCATTTTTCTTAGTAAATTTATCATTTTCATAAATTAAAAGTGATGAAAATGAAAGAAGATACTGTACCCACGATTCAAATCACTCTGATGAAATATGTAAGTATTTACAATTATCTGTATTTGTATTAATAAAATAGGACAAACTCTATACAATACTTTTAAACTGCGTTTAGTCTTGAAAAGTACCTATTGTGTTAAGGTGATTACAGCACCCCCTTGTAATTTTGGCACAAGGATATCTCAAAAAGTAATTTTTTTAGAAAATTTAAATTTGGGCAAAATAAATTAGGCAATAATATCTAGAATATGCATATTTTTTAAAGTTTTAATTCTTTTCAGTTTCCGAGAAAAAAAATCAAAGGGCGTTAAATTTTGAAATATCATAATGAAAATAAATGCATTCTTCAACAGCACTATTCCCAATATAATCCCCAAATTTAAGCTCTTAATCTCTTGTTAATGATTTTTTAAAATTCGCCGAAATTAGTGGCTAAAACGCCTCGTTAAGTGCTTTTTTCTAGTGTAACGCGTCTGTAACTTTCGTATCGTACACTCTGAGTTATCATTCGTTTCTTGCAACGATTTACACCAGTTTACACCAGTTTAAACCAGAAAATAGCACTTAACAAGGCGTGTTGGCCACTAATTTCGGCGAATTTTAAAAAATAATTTACAAGAGATTAAGAGCTTAAATTTGGGGATTATATTAATAATAGTGCTGTTGAGGAATGTATTTATTTTCATTATGATATTTCAAAATTTAAAGCCCTTTGATTTTTTTTCTCGGAAACTGGAAGGAATTAAAATTTTAAAATATATGCATATTTTAGATATTATTGCCTAATATATTTTGCCAAAATTTTATTTTTTTAAAAAAATTACTTTTTGAGATATCCTTGTCCGAAAATTATAAGGGGGTGCTGTAATCACCTTAAGAACTTATTTAAACCAGAAAAAAGATTTCGACACCTGTCTAATAATGGAAAATGTAAAGTAGGTTGTTCTGTATTTTTCAGGTAAGAACCTACAACCCTTCGATTAAACAGGTAACAGCTGCTTGTGATAAAGCTTCTTTATCTCTTCCTGGACCTTCTGTTTGTCAACAAAGTTGTACATACATATAGAATTAGAAGATAACCCTCCTGATTGCCCTGGTAAAAAGAAGCTCGAAAGATGAATCAAAAACTTGGAAGCACAGAATAAAGTCGAGAATATTAAATTTAATAAATAACAGCACACCGTATGGAAACAACGGAAAGTCATCAAATTTTTAAAGAGAATAATGCTGGAACTCAAGAAAAAAATTTGATTATGGAGGAAGAAGAAAAAGTTGTTTCGGAAAATTTTGAAAATAATAAAGAAATTGTTGAACTATTTAGGAAAACCTTGGGCAAGACTGTATCTAAGACAGGCCTGCACAACTCAGATTTTTAAAGGGCCAGTTTGAGAAACCGTAAGTATACGAGGGCCAATCCCTGAGCCTATAGTGGCATGAAAAAAGGTCGTCAGCTTATAATTTATAAACCAATTCCTGCTGATCGAGCTTCTAAAAAAAAAGGCGTTAGTCAAGTTTGTTACTGGTCAACTGCAAAACGAAGTCCCACAATAGATCTGAAAAGGTCGCGGTGGACAAGAACAATAATGTCCAACTCCTTCTAAATCTAATCTAAGATACAGAAGAATGGATACCCCTCCACTAATTTGGTTTCCGTAAAGAACACTCTAGGCATGTTCATAGAATAGCTCATAGCATAAATTTAGCCCTGGAAAGCAAAAAATACTGTACAGCTGCTTCCTTAAATGTTAACCAAGCCTTTGATAAGGTTTGGCATATTATGATCTAAAACTTCAAAATCAAAAAATATCTTTCCATAACTTACTTTAATCTGTTGAGATATTATTTAGGTGACAGAGAATTCCGAGAACAAGTGAATGAAAGTATGTACAACAATTTTTAAAAGATACCGGTGTTCCACAAGGTAGTGTTCTTGGATCTTAATTTTATTAATTGTATACAGCGGATCTACCAGCAAATAATAAAGCAGTCTTGATAACATTTACCTATGACACAGTCATACTTGCAAGCCATGAAAATCCAATTACAACGTCTGCTATGTTACAAAGACACTTGAATGACATCCAAACATGGTTACTCAAATGGAGAATAAGAAGGTTCATTATATGATCATCGGAGATCTCCGAGCGCTGCATACGTGTTTGAATTGACACTCTGAGGGATTCCAAAAGTATTTGTTTCGCTTTAGAGCGAGAACATAGAGCGAGCTCGACGTTCTTACAGCAGAAGGATCGATAAGTCGGAGTAATGTGTCTTTGTCTCTACCTATCTCTTTTTAATTAATCTTAAATTAAACTTGAATCTCAAAATTCGAGATTCGAGACCAGTCATGTGTGCAGTCAACAAATTATTTATCCGATTTTGTCTAACAGCTAAAATTATTCAACATAAAAAAATAAAATGTGTTTGTAAAATACATTTTCACTGCTCAGATAT